AATTTGTTTTTATTCATTTGACATAATCAGTATTTTCGCTTTGTTAAAAATAAAATGCTGTTCGACTCTACTTACTAACTTTCAAGTGGCACTGCGTTGTAAACTACAACGGCGATCACACATTGTCTTCCAGCGTTTTTGTGATGTACCTGTACGGGTTTCTTCACGTTCAGCATGTAAATCAGCTACAACAAGTAAACGGGGAGAACATGGATTATTGTCATTAGTAGTGCGTAGAATTGATCGTTTGAAAATAGCCTCGTAAGTTAGTTTTTCATTACCACGACCCTCTACACCACGGACAGTTGAAACCGTCAACACAATATTATCGTCGCCACCAGTACTCTGCGCTATCTGATGCAGTAAGTCTCACAGAGTGTTGCTTGTATATTGTTGTGGTGGCCTAAAACGAGACCATATAGGGCTACTTGTTAATCTTTCATAATTAATAGTAAAAGCTACACTTTCACGAGATGTGCAAGACTGTGTAATATATGTTGTAGTGCCCGTTAGTGCTCCTTCAAACCATCCAACATGGTTTTGATCCCTAGGTGGCAGCGTTATCTTAATGATACATTCTTCATCGATAATGAACATCGGTAACTTTTCAAAAATTTTTTACCCCCTCTTTGTCAATAAAAAAATGACGTCCCGAAGGATTAACAATTGTGATGGTATCTAATGATGTCGTCAGCAACGCCTCGTCTTTACTTGCTGAACTCTGGATTTCCTTCGCTGCTGCTCGGGTTCTTAAATATTTATAATTGGATAGTTGTCGTCAGCATGATTCTTCAAGTGGCCTCCAGGAGGAATCATAGCTAACATGAAGTTATAATTAATATTTTCCTTAATAATAAAACTAAATAACATAAGAATAAAAACAATTACTAACAGGTGTTGGTGAATTACTTCTCGTTGGGGATGAGTATCAGTATCATCGGTTACTTTAAAGGAATAGTCTATTGAACTACTCGACAATGACTCATACACCCTATGCAAACCATCCGAAGGAATATCATTATCTGTTTCTTTTTCAACATCAAGTCTACAGGGTATACTGATGTCACAGTAACACTGCGAATATGTGCAAGAAACCGTTGGATTAATATCACAAGCAGACTACCAAGGGCCGCGAAACTCTGTAATAATCTTATCAACGTTGAACCAGTGACCTTTTTCAAGATTCAAAAGTATATTATATATACCAAGTATACATGGTTATTTGTTGTTGCACTTGAAACAGTCAATACCTGAAAATTTTCAATTTCGTACGTGTATATTCCCTGATGATTTGAGTCATTATGTTTATATTTAACGAAAGCTTATAAATAAACATTTTAATAGGTATAATTTATCAGTTACCAATCAGTGATAGCTGTGAGCGCATCACGGACAAAACAAGCGGCAATTCTCAGCACTTTATTTTACTTGGGTAAAGGACAACGCTCAGCTGTTGTGCATGTTGGATACGAAATTTTGTGGCACAAGTCGAAACCGGGCTCATTTTATAGAGAAAAATGCGCTGGATTTAATGATCTAATTCGCAGCCGAAAAAACCAGCCACGTCATATTTTTTTAAATTTAAAAATTAATTTTTCCAATGAATCCAGATGTTTTATGTGATATTCCGTCAATAAAGCAAAAATCAGGCATATTTGACTGAAAAAAATTTTTTTCCTTAAACTTAAATTAAAAAGGAATATTTTAGTCATCTCACTCTTTGTAAATTCACTTTTATTTTTGAAATTTTTTGGATCGACCAGAAAACTTTAATACCGATAAATTGGCGTAATAATCAGTAAAAATGGCTGCCACAGTAAATGATTTCTTTAACTTTTTGAGATGAAAAATATGATGGCCTAGTTCAACTATCGCCGCATTTTCAGCAGATTCTGATAATTTTGAGTTATTAGCTCTTCTACGTAGTACATGATCAGCTTATATATTCGCATCGTTACTATGCCTTTTTTTGTTTACACAGATATTTGTGAGAATTATATAACTGGAGATGTACAGACGCTTCTATTACGCATTAAACCGCTGGATATACATAATTATTTATATGGCACTTCAGCGTATGGAAACGCTGCATACCTCTTTTGAAACCAGATATTCCTACAATCGATATTTGGTATGCAGATGAATTTGGTAAACCTATACCATTTGAACATGATACTTTAACTGTGACGTTACATTTCATAAGATTAAGATAAACATGTTCTAAGAAATTGAATATGACATGCCCTAGGCTGGTATCCTTATATTGGAACACCTCACCAGACGCGTCATGGTATTGGTAGTTTCTTGGGAGGTTTATTCAGTAGTGTTCTTCCCTTTTTAAAAAGCCCAGCAAAAGTCATTGGTTAAGAAACCTTAAAATCAGGCGTAAATATGTACACAAGTCGGGACGAAATTTGAAACGAAAAGCAAAAGAAAAAATTGATAGCTGAATGCAAGATTCAGGCTATATACCATAAAAAAGCAAAAAAAACAAACTCCTAAAGGAAGGAAAAAACGTAACGGCTGCAAAATTAAGAGAAAAACGAAGACAAAGAAAACAAGAAAAGTACGACGCGTTGTAGATATGTTTGAATAATAATGGCTTTTCTCCATGTTTATTCTTGTGAGTGTGCAAAAACAGAGCTGGAATTATTTTCTGTACCACCTATACAGACAACAATTGAAGATTCTTAACTGGTCTTTTACAAGCCTATTTCATCATTAACAGATAACTCTCCGATTGAATTTGTTGTTTAAGGTGGAAGCGACGAATACATCGACTTTGCGCATACAATGTTAAATTTGGAAGTCGAAATTACACCACGCGATGCGATATTGATGTTGGGCCTATAAATAATTTTATGCATTTTATGTTTAACCAAGTTGATGTTGATTCCAACCAAAAATGTGTAGCACCACCTAATAATTTATAATTCTTATAGAGCTTACATTGAAACACTTCTAAATTATGGACGTGATTCAAAAAATTCTCATCTAAGTACGGTCGGCTGGTCTCAAGACACACCTGACAAAATAGATAATTTTACGGACGATAATGAAGGCTTAAAAAAACAATAGCAATATTTATCATATGGTAAAACTTTTGATTATCTTGGACATTTACATTACGATGTATTCCATCAAGAACGCTTTTTAATAAACGGTGTTAAAACACGCTTACGTCTAACAAAATCTCGTGATTCTTTTTGTTTAATGAATGCCTCGGACATTGCGTGCAAAGTTGACATAATTTAAGCATCGTTAATAATGCGACGTGCAAAAATATCGCCTAGCACTTTGCTGTCTCATGCCCGAGTTTTGGCAAAATCCACAGCTTGATATCCGTTAACAGGCGTAGAGGTTAAAGCTGTTTCTATACATGGTGCTGTTCATAGTGAAACTATTGATAACGTTACTCTTGGACAATTGCCACGTCGTAAGATATTTGGTTATGTTGATAATAAAACTTTCAACAATAACAAAAAATTAAACCCATTTAATTTTCATCATTACAAAATTAATTATTTTTCGTTGTATGTTGATGGCCACCAATTATCCCAGAACCCCTTAGACGACTGAGAGATAATTGCAAATACTTCCAGCACACCGTCAAGCGTTTACAACAAGAAGATTCTCAAGTTTGCGGCCAATAATGTATTATGTTTTTGCATGATTTGTCTGTTAATTATCCACTTAATGAGTTTATATCCGGCTTTAGAACAAAATATTCCGAAAATGATAAAATTGTAAGTAAATATTATAAAGCCTTCATGAAAAAAAAAAAATTTTTAATGTAAAGAAAATGTTTTCGGAGGTGAAGGATTAAAATTCCACCAACCATGTATATGTAGGAATAAGCACATGTTTTTCTCCATATAACATATAAACAAAAATAGTCTGCATTTTTTATTATTAGTTTCCACATATTATATTCACAGTCGTTATTGAATGCGTCTATTCAGTTATAGTATTTTTCTAAAGAATTAAAACGTTGATTGTGTGGTAAAAATTGGCCACAGAAAGAAAAAGTGTGAATTCGCTAGAAAAAATTATAGAAAATGGAGTTATTAATTTTCTTCATTTATTTTTAGGGATCATATTTAATAGTTTTCTGGTCTATACAAAAATGTGCACCAAGCATAAATAATGAAAAAATCTTGATCAATACCGGCCACAATAGCTTAAAACATTACTCACGTCTCGTTCTTTGAAGATATGTATATATAAATCCAATTGCGATAAAAGAACACAACAGCTATTATCCTAATTTCCCCGTATGTTTAAAATCTAGTGTAAAGTTTAATTACTAAGAAAACGAACATTCTTATATATTTAATTGAGAGAATAATTAGTACATTTTTGTGTCAAAATATACAGTCATATTTATTTATAACGTTCTTGACACAATTTTCGGAACGTTAGCTTTTTCTACACGATAATTGATTTAATCAAGCGAAAGAAAAAAATTGCATCCTATGTCAAGATTCACCAAGCCATTACAGATTATGTACACTTATTCTTTTTCGAATCGCGAAAAAAATGGCACATTAATCGATTTGTGCAGCTATCTAGATGATATCTTTTTTTTAGTAAAAATTGATATATGTTAGACATGAAATAATGCATCGTTCGTCTGTAGCTGTGACTAATTAAATGTGTTTTTCTTTTCAAATCTTTGTTTTAATTAGTGGTTGTTCAACGTGTTAAGAAGGAGTATTGTTTTATGATCAAATTTTTCTCATTTTGTTGCATCGGACCGATGAACATTCGTGGATTACTTTATAAGAGAATTATGGTTTATGTCATCCGACATCAATACTTCATCAAAACGATCATTCCTTTTCATGAACAATTATGTTGAAAGTAATCAGTTAAAAAAAAAACAGTATCACATCGAAGCATGTACAATAAAAATGCACATCACAATTTTGTTTTCTAGACAAATAAAAATCTAGGAATCGGTATAGGAACAATACAAGTACCAATCTTCTTTAACTTACCTGTTGATGATATTCAATTCCCATACTGAAAGTATTGATCAAAATTGCTAAGAGAATGCCTTGTTGAAAATATTCGTATTCAACCAGCCACCGGATTTTTATTTGTAATGTTTCTAGTACTTGACAATCAATGATTCTTTTTTGTTGACGCATCTCATATATATGTTTCGAACAAAATGAATTATCTTGATTTACTTCTTCAATAACTGCATAGATGGCTGATTGACAACATGAGTATTTATTATCAGACAAGAATTTTTTTTTCCTTTCATTAATAAGTAAGCGTTGACCTTTTATGTTTTCTGACAGAAATTCAATAAATTTGTAATGATCAAATCCGTGCGTCAACAAGGTTGCATTGAATGCTCCACCCAATGCTAATAGCTCTTGACATGTCACTGGTTCATATTGACGTAGTCGCATCTGGAATATGAATATATGAATTAGAGGTAATCACAAATCTAATAGAATGAAATGGCTATGAATATTACGGCAGTTGTCACTCTGAGTGTAATAACAGTTTCGTAAGTAATTGAAGTAATCAGAATACATTCTCATTATTTCAATTCCAGATGAAACATGTATTCTTCAGTGTTTGTGAAAATCGGCGCTAAGCCTATACTCGAATACTATTCAAATACTAAAATTAGATTTTAATTTGTTGTAATCGATAACAAATCATCAACTTTCTCGTTCGATCTTCGAGGACTTGATCGTATTAATTACGTTCTGATTCAGTAAGAGAGACTATTTTACAAGGATCTGCCCGAAAGAGAGAAAATCAGTGTAGAATTTAATGATTGCCCAAAATCTAAAATATTGTGTAAGGTATTGTTCAGTTTTCATTAATCAGTTAGAAAAACCTGCTCTGTCTATGGGGCGCAAGGCCTTCATTGCAAATTTGAGAGAAGTGGCACTTGACCACAGTCAAGATGTAATACCGCAGTACTAAGTGCGCTATCCTTGTGCTTTGTCCGCGAGAAAGAAACGAAACGGGAATAAAGCGTATGGCAATGCTGGTTACTCAGTACCGTAGTGGGACTGGTTCTCAAAAATAGGAAAGAAAACCAATATTCATACAACAACTAAGTTTTTTCTTATAAATTTTCTTGAGATTGATTAATATATAGATTACTATTAAAGAAGGATCGATTAACTTATAGAAAGGGGGAAATTAAAACTATTATGACAATGTTTCCTTTTAATGCACAGCGCGGCCGATAGCGCTGTCTCGCTACGATACACAAGGCTATAATAACAATCAAATCATTTTGGACATAACATCAGAAATTGCCTTTTCAAACATCGCTGCGAGACTTGTAAAAACTCTCACAATACCACTATTCACGATGCTTCGGTAAACAGAAATTTGCAAAAGCACGAAACATCTACATCAAGAGCAGACCATCCAAAGACTAATCTGAGTACATCATTTTTTTAGTTACATGGTTTCATTCGTATATGTAAAGTGCGAATCATCGTTAAATTCAGTGAATTAATCATTAGAGCAAAAATTGATATAAGTTTATTGATGCTGTTTATCTCAAATGGGTATTAAGAACAAATCATCCGAAAAACAAGAAATCATTAGTCTGTATGACAGACATTTGTGATGTATGAGCAGCGACTTTTGGAGTAATCTAATTTCGAAACAAACCATTATACTCTTTAGAACAAATTACGAATCTACTTTTGATTATCTGTTATCACTACAGCTAGAGGACCTAGAGTTTCTAAAGGCCGAAGCAACAGACATGATTATAGGAGCTGATTTCTATGATCAAATCATCAGACTAGGCAGTAAAATCTTATTAACAGGTGCTACTGAAGCTAAATTAATAATATTTTATTGTACCATCATTGGAAAAATCGCAGACAAATATCAAATAAAGTTTAATCTTATTACACAGCAATCAATCCATTAATTTAGGATGTGCAAAAGTTAGTGACTAAATTTTTCATTTAATAAGAAATCGGAGAAGAGAAAAATCAACTTCTATGGCACTTCGTTTTACTATTTAATAATATCATTATTAGCAATCATAAAAATCGAGGAAAGAAATATTATAGTATTATGAGAATGAAAATAAATGAATTTTTGTCAAGACATAAATGTACAACTGAAATTTTTTTATGTCATAACGTAATAATAAATCGATAGAATGATTTTTTTCACAGCAAAAAATTATTCAGGTAATTGATATTGTGTCTCGACTTAATATGTGTATCTTGTCCATGATATAGGTATTAATCAACCATACTTGATCATTTCTTGGGGCTAAAACACAACTATGAATCTTCTTTGAAGCTTTCCAGTATATTTTCAAAATACTGAACGGTTAAAACATGCATTTAGCAATAACAGGTAATGTTTTTCTGAAATCTCTAGCAAATAAAAATGTTACTACCCCGAATAATTGATGATTATTTCTCAAATCTTGCATTGTTTTATTAATTTCCCAGTGGGAAGTTATAGTAATGGGTCCGATTTTGCGAATTCCGAATTTTGACATATCTTCACGTTTTAAGGTCCCCAGAGTCGAATACGATCATTTTCCAGTGGACGTCTGTGTGTGTATGGACGGATGTGCGTGTGTGCATATGTACGTATGTGCGTTCGGAATTATTTTTCGCCTCGATTATCTCGAGAATAAAAAATGATATCGACGTGGAACCAACTGCATTCGACACGAAATTGCGCAACTTAGAACTGATTCGGTTTTTAACGAAATCGGTCCAGCCATTTTTTTTGCAGAACTAAAAAACCAGCAAAAATGGAAAACGAACTGAATTTTGCAAATTTATAAATTATACCATTTTTTAGACAAAATTTAAAAATCTTTTAAAAAATATAAATATTAAATGATAAGAATACTTGTATGAAAATATGATGACAGTAATTCATCAAAAAAAAAATTTTAAAAAACAAAATTAGCAATGAAAGAATTTTAAACTTGTGTCAGGATTGAGAAAACAGCATTAAAGACGCTATAATTGTCAATAATATGGAATTGTGTTCATAACAATTGAACATTGTTACTAACAAGTGATTATTGATCGTAGTAATATTTAAATAATAAGTTTTAAATTATTATAAACAATAAAAATAGGGACCCTTTCTATATAAATATGAGTACTTTTAACGCATAATTTTTTCTTTAACTAAAAAAATGTTACCAACCGTATGACATAAATGAAAACATACTTTTTTCTGTGTATAACAATGAAATTTGTTGTAAATAATGAATAAAAGGATCTATGAGATATATTCGAATTCTTTTAACGCACAATTTTTTCTTTCACTGAAATAAAGTAACTAACCATATCAGATGAATAAAAACACACTCATTTTGTTTATAATTAATAATCCATTTGTTATAAAAAATGGAAACGGGTTCTATTCGAATTGTTTTTTCATTTTTTCCACTGGGAAGTTGGTCGTGTGGACCTTTCGGGTCGCACCCAGACCACTGCAGAGCACTGATATTTCACAGCTTCAATAGATACTTTGTTACCCATAGTTCATTTATCTCTCACCACAAAAACACAGTCTTGCAAGACTTTGGCTCCCCGACTATTCTTATATATGCCACATACGGGGTTTTTCATATGATGAGCTTCAATTGATATTGTGAACATAAAATGATGCTACTGCAATTGCAATATTTTTTTGCAGGTATTTTTGCTAATGTGAAATTAATTGAAAACGTTTTGCCAGTACTACCCGGCCATTGAAAAAAATACCCTACCAGCACGTCTATTTATTGTATCGATAAGAAGTTGATAAATTTGTTTCCGTTTGGTGTTTAACATTGGTTCATTATGATTTATAGTGTGTCGAAGTTCAATTGGATCAGATTTTATTTGTTTCATGTATTCTCTATTTAATGTATCGATGGAATCATTAGTTATCCGTGGAAACGGTAAACTGTAATAATCAATGGAGTTTCCACCTATCGAAAGTACAATATTTTGTATTGCAAGAAGTGCACGATTAGTTATATTTTCTACATGAGCGTGTTGTCAACATTTAGACAATGAAGTTCAAGATTCCTTTTATAATCTTCAATGAAATGACTTTTAAAGATGGTCGATAATTCTAATGAATTAGAAACATTGCAAAAAACCAACATAATAGCAGATAACTCACGCAGCTTAGATAGGCTGCTACATATAGTAGCATCTGTTGAAGTATTATGCCAGTGACAACTTTTAAACTTAAAATGAAGTAGGTCCTCTTATAACATGTAACAACATCCGTAGATAATAACAGTCATGATTATTTGGATGTACTGTATAGACTCTTCCAAGATTATATTCGTAAAAAATATCTGGATAGCCATCAACGGGAGTCCCACAGCGTCGCCGTTGAAAAATTCCCTGATGTTTATCGAATTTATAGTAGAATGGTACTTCCTTACAAAATAAAGAAGTTGCAAATTCATCTCTCTGACATAAATTAAAAAAAGCAGTCAACGTTGTAGATCTTAGAGTCTCTAATATTTCTTGGACATTACTTGGATCAGAGTAAACACTTTGACCATTTTCTAAATGTATGCCCAAATGTGTGACAGGTGGAAAACGTTCATGAATAGAAAATGACAATATACGCCAGACTGCTTCTAAAGTACTTATACATCTGCCACTTTGATATGACGTTATTTCATCAATGTGATTCTGTATACCGAAAACAACTAAATCTGAGCATTTATTCACATATTTACAAATATATGTGATTGATTTTACACTATTACAGAGTTCAACATTGACACGTGCATTAAAGATTCGTAACAATACGGTTGAATATGGAACGATCTACCGATTGGATCGTTACTTTTCTATCACCGTTTTCAGGCGATCAACGTCTGTAAAATAGATACCCATCTTCACCCATTACTGTTTCTTTTGTAAATGACTTTGGAAATTTCCTACTGCAACTTCCATTCTTCATACAAGGAGATTGTGGATTGTGTGCACCCCATAGACCATGTACCATGTGTGCTTTTACTATTTCATATAGTTCAAGTAATAGTTCAGGATCTCCTTCTTTATTAGGTAATTCTGCACAGACAACATCGTCAATTTGCTCTGCGGTTATTTTTTTTTCTAACCACATGGGAATATAAGCATGCGGCAAACCACGTTTTTGCCATTCGATTTTATACATATAACAGCGGACAGAACCAAAAATTTTTCCTTCTATTGAAAGGTCCATCATCTTTTGACATTATGTCGTGATGGTCTGATGCTAATTGACTAGTAAAAAGTTCTTTGGTAATTTCATTCTATTTAGGATTGGTTGTAAACGTTATAAAAAGATCAGGACGTCCATATTATCTAACGTGACAGAACGCATCTTAAGTCCGCTCATGCATATATCGTGGTCCTCTCGCAAAAGATGAAGGTAAAATCACTAGTCGTCC